TCTCCAGAATTCGTTTCTGGGTTCTTTAAATTTCGACATATTTCCCTTCTTTTCTGAGTTTTTCTCCATCGATTTTGTTATTCGGGTACGCGGGATCAGGTGGATTCATACAAATTTCAAATCTGATTTCAAAATCGATTCGAAAAAAGCTACAACCTTTCTTGTTGATGCTTGTGGTTAGTTTCTGTGGTGAATTATGGGCTGCATTTGCTCTAAAGGAGTACGAACAAACGATGATTTCATCGAGACGAATCATGTAAGTATTGCAAAAGACAACCTTAAAACCTCCAAGAAACAATCTTCTTCCTCTAGAAACAACGACAATGTAGATCCCGAGGAATCGATCGTTAATGGTAACGAAGCCACAGTGAGGCTAATACCTAGTGATACCAAGAATGTCTTCTCTGATGACGAAGATGAGGAGAAGAAGGAGAGGAAATCTTGTGAATCAGTGTTGCAAAAAGGATCAACTATGGAGTTAGGTGATAATGTAGGACCATTACAACCTAGAATGAGTAGAATTGGTAGTGTTACTAATGGAGAAAGAGCAGCTAGGGTTATTGCTGGTTGGCCTTCATGGTTAGTTTCAGTTGCTGGTGAAGCAATCAATGGTTGGATTCCTCGTAGTGCTGATTCCTTCGAGAAGTTGGAGATGGTGAGGGCTTTTTTAATCAAGTTGGAATTTTTTGCTTTTTAAATCTCAGATGATGGTAAAGTACTGATTCTTTGTTGTTTCGATTGCAGATCGGGCAAGGGACGTATAGCAATGTGTACAGAGCTCGTGATCTTGAAACAAACCAAATAGTTGCATTAAAGAAGGTTCGGTTTGCTAATATGGATCCTGAGAGTGTTCGGTTCATGGCGAGAGAAATAATCATTCTTCGTAGGCTTAACCATCCAAACGTTATGAAACTCGAAGGGATTATCATTTCTAAGGCTCCGGGGAGTATGTATCTTATATTTGAATATATGGACCACGATCTCTCAGGCCTTGCTTCAACCCCTGGGATTAAGTTCTCTCAGGCACAGGTAACAACAGCATGTCAAGTTGTGTATGCTGCTTGTAGTGATTTTGGTGTGGCTATCATCAGTTTTGTAACACCTGATATGCTTTTGCCAGATTAAATGCTATATGAAACAATTGCTGCTTGGCTTAGAACATTGCCATAGCTGTGGTGTGTTGCATCGTGACATCAAGGGCTCAAATCTTCTGCTTGATCGTAATAATAATCTCAAGATTGGTGATTTTGGTCTTTCTAACTTTTACCGGGGTCAGCGAAAGCAGCCTCTGACTAGCCGTGTTGTGACATTGTGGTACCGACCTCCTGAACTCCTGCTCGGTTCAACAGACTATGGAGTTACAGTTGATCTGTGGAGTACAGGATGCATACTTGCTGAACTCTTCACTGGAAAGCCTCTTCTGCCCGGAAGAACCGAGGTGCTGTTTCCTTTACGAAAAATTCCCTTTATAAGAATCGGCATGTTGGCTTTGATTACGCCATATAAGTTAAATGTTTTATGTTATATTAGGATGGGATATAGTCATTTCAATGCAGAAAATGAGTATCGAAAGACCCTTTTGTTTCTTATACGAATAGGTAGAACAGATGCACAAGATCTTTAAACTCTGTGGATCACCTTCTGAGGAATATTGGAGAAGATCACGGTTGCGACATGCAACTATCTTTAAACCTCAACATCAGTACAAGCGATGTGTGGCTGATACGTTAAAGGATCTTCCTCCTTCTGCTTTGGCCCTCCTTGAGGTTCTTCTAGCTGTAGAACCAGATGCACGTGGAACCACATCTTCTGCCCTTCAAAGCGAGGTTAACATATGAACTTTACTCTGCTACTAGATTCAGGCTTGATACGTTTTTCCACCTTCTGCCTACTATTTTTATTTTAATTCAGAAATGCAAATCTGTGACATTGTAGCTTAGACATACATGTTGGTATCTCTCTTTTTAGTTCTTTATGACAAAACCTTTTCCAAGCGAGCCATCAAGTTTACCGAGATATCAGCCAAGGAAAGAATTTGATGCCAAGCTTCGAGAAGAGGAAGCAAGACGGTAAGTTCAGATCTTCTAAACCTTTTGCTGGAAGAGTCTTTGCTTGTTTCACCATTTACAAGTTTTTTCTTAGTATCATCTCATTAACTCTCATGCATCCCAATTTTTCTAATGAGTAGAAGGAAAGGGGCGAGCAGTAAACAGAACGAACCGAAACGATTGTCTAGAGAATCTAAAGCTGTACCAGATCCCAGTGCCAATGCCGAATTGAGGGCATCAATACAGGTAACTTCTCAATCCATGGAGGCATGTGTGTGCAAGTTTAACAAGCCTATGCTTCCATCTTATTGCTTGAATTTTTTATCTTTGCTTCAAAGAAACGACTCGGGGAGACTAAACTGACAAGCGTGAGTGAGAAGTTCAATCCTGAGGGAGATTCTGGCTCTGGCTTCCGGATGGAGCCACTGAAGGGTATTACCGCACAAAATCCCAACCCAAATTACACAAACGGAGACAATCATCCTAACGGATCAAGCCAACTGAAAACACAAAGGTCTTATGTCCAACGCGGGGCAGCCCAATTGTCAAGATTCTCTAACTCGGTAGCACCTGCTAGAGATGGATCACAGTTTGGAAGTGTGAGACATGCTATAGTGGATCAACGCTGGCTTGAAGATGGTTCAATGAATTTCAATTTGTCCCAAAGATTGCTTGAGAAACCCAATGGTTTGAGGAAAGAAGACCACTCATCCTCTAGTAAAGAAACGATAATGGTAAAGAAAAACGCGTTTAACATTGTTGTTGTTTGTTCCTCCTTGTGGTCTTCTTATATTTGAGGCTGATCACATAATCTGGTGAAATATATAGAGTTATGATGGTGAGAAGAAAGAGAGGATTCATTACTCAGGACCATTGCTTCCAGGAGAAGGAAACTTAGATGAAATGTTGAAAGAACATGAAAGACAGATCTTGTTGGCTGTACGCAGAGCTCAAGCTGATAAGGCTAAAAGGGACGATAACAGACAGGCCCGAACCCTGTTTCCAACTAATGGAAGGTGATTTTGGGAGATTTATTTCATAATAAGTGTCTGGATTTCTTAGAGAAAGTAAAATAAAAGCAAACTTTTGGGAAAATTCTGATGATGGTTCTTCACCATACTTACCTTTTTTTTTTGTTAGACTTGTATGGTTCTGAAGAAGGGGGTTAGGATTTAGGTTCTTGCGTTGTATAGTCATTTACTAACACTTATCTGAATTTATTTCTCCATTCTTTTAAGTATAATCTAATAAATCTCTGATTTAGAAATTATTTACTGTGTTAAGTTTAAATGCCTCTCGTTCTTGCTCTAAAGATTCCTTGAGAAAACATGAAAACGATGTTATTCGTCAACGGGCTCTCAAACAAAAGTTGTGACACATCCCAATGGTTGTTGTATACGAATATGGTCTTCTTCTATACATCTCTTTACCTGCTAAACCTTGAGTCTCTTTTCTTTCTCCTTATCTGGATTAGTTTCAAAGGTCTTATGACATGATAATCGGTGAAACCCCATTAAACTTTAGGCGTTACAATCATTGAGTAGAATATGAATGTATATGGTCATTGACCAACATCACCAAACCTCAAAAGTTGAGTGAGCTGATTTAGACGATTCTACCGCTTATTTTCAGAAGCTCTTGCGCCGAAATACAGAGATGTGACTTTGTTTTCCTACGTTCGGATTCACTAGCTGTTGCTAGTGAGCTCAAGAAGAATAATTATACACTCTGTTTTATCTTTTGAATATATATCAAAGCATTTCTTGGTTTGGTTTTCTCCTTTTCTTATATATGCTGCAAGAATCTTGCCACCGTTTTTAGTTTGGTCATTGAAGTTTAATCTCCCATGAAATGAAAACTACTACTGTAATTAGTGTAATGTTTATAATTCAAATTGCCTTTGTAAACACTTGATGATTAATGGAAAGCAAAACTAAAAACTTACTGTTGTATCGATCACTATTATGTGATAATTTCTCCTTGATATTTATTTTACAACAAGAGTATTAAAACAGAATAAACTTACAATTTGAGAAGCAAACTTGATGATACTCTTTGAGATCATCACACAAGTTGTTCAGTGCCACCTTTTGCAGCCTTTCCTTGTGCGGCTGGTTCGTGTTTCTTTTCGATTCTGTTGTCTGCGATTCTCTCTCGAGGGCTACAAAACAATCTTCCCAGAAAATGAGAAGCAACCGCCAAGAATATGATTGTTAAGACGATCAAACACCATTCCCAGATTGGAACCTCCATTTCTTGAAGTTATGTTTCTTTCAGAAC